CCAATCATGCTGCAATGTTCACTTATCTGATATTGAATCAGAAGAAGAGGAGGATTTAGAATTATCTGACTTTTTTGGAATGCCCCCAGCACTAAAGTAAAATGAAATGAAATGAAATAAATCTCTTAGCATGTTCACTAGCCAAAGCATACTACATCTCATGATAAGCTATTTGGAAGTTTGTGTTTTATATAGGCTTGCCATGTGGTATATTCGTGATCATGTAAGAGTGTCTAGTGGTTACTGTATTAGAGGCTGTCCAAACAAAACTTAAAATTGGAAAACTTTTCTCCAAAGTGTGATAATTCTTGGCTATACTAGTAAACAGTTTGACGTGTGTTTAAACATAATTCAGTTTTCTTAAAGGTATGTCTAATGAAGTGTGTGACTGTATAATAGAGGAGACGGTATTTGATTTTTAATTTTTATGTTCGTTTCCTGTGTTCTCTGCCCATTTGAATTTTTTTTAAAAAGGAAGAGGTAACAGAAAAGTGCCTCTGTGTCACTGCGCTTACTGCATTGTTTCGCTGATGTTTTTGTACCCATCTTTTCCCCTGAAGAGCGAACTCCTCGAGAGTAGGAAAGGTGGCCTCGGTGTCTTGCCCAATTCAGTACACAGGAAGGATTCAGTAAATATTTGTTTGAGTGAATAAATGAACGAAATCACATTCAAATGAATTACTTCCATTTCGAAGGGGACCAAATAACTGCCTCTTGATTTGCTCTCTTTCCTGCCCTTGTTTTAAGATGGCCTCACAGTTTGGGCTGGTTTTTATCATTGCTATCATTCAGCTATGTATACTAACCTTTCAAATCTGTAAAAAGTATTTAAAAGAAAGAGAAATTGTTCATGTTTCAACACCTATTATAATGCATTTTCAAATATGTCAGACACATCTTTGTTAAAATTAAACCAGGGATTGGTTTTGAGCGAATAGCCCTATATCCTTACAGATGCTGTGGATGGATGCATCTAAGCTGCTTATTATATTGATGGGTTTTGCTGCTCTGCAGCAAATGAAAACAGGCAGCTGCTTCCTCCATCAAAGCAAAAAGCAGCCTGAGTTTTTATTAACTGAGCGTTCATTTCTTCTATTGCCAAAATTCTTACTCAAAACAAAAGAGCAGTTTTAGCACATTATTGCTTAACTAGACATGAACAACTGACAGCAAGTGATAAGCCTGTCTGCTTTTCACAACTGGTAATCATTTTTGGAATAGATGTTTTAATATAGTTGAATATAAATTTTGTAATTTACATCTACAATGGTACGTAAATTTATAGATCCAGTTTGTTGCAGGAGAATGAAGGCTATAATCACAAAAGCCTTTCCCAGTGTTGTTTAATTTTTAATGACTATTTGAAAACTGGGGAAGGGAAATGAAATCAAATTCATTTCTTTAAAAAATACAAAAAGGTGTTAAAGACAATCATACAAGTTGGTTGGAACCATTTGTAGATGGCCCTGACAGAGCGAGACCGCTGTGTTTACGGCCGGGACGTGCTTCGCACTCTATTTCCACATTAGTTGCAGTGAGCTGCCCAAGTTTGCACAGCGGCAGAAATTTCTGGAGAGCAGACCGTCATGTTTCCTTTGTATCAATGAATAAGGATGAGCAGGGAGCCCGGAAGGACAGACCCAGGCCATTTTGCACAGCTGAGATTCTCTGCCAACTCACTTTTTTTTTTTTAAGCCGTCTGAATATCACACATTTACTTTCAGATAGAACGGCAGAGAGGGGTTTGTTTAAAGTGGGTTGAGACCGAACCTCAACCACCTCAGCACGCTGAGGTGTTGCCATATTTATTGAGTCAATTTGCCTAATGGTGTTTTGCCTTTTGGAACTTGCTAATGGCGATTCCTGCTGTAAGAAGGGGGAGGCGGACCTTCTCCTTCCCCCATCCCACCACAGGCCTAAGAGGAGGAATGTGGAGGGAAGGCAGTTTTGAAACACTGGGGCGCACCCCTTCCAAACAATGCTGCTAAATAATTAAGTTCTGCCTAACAAGACTAATACCAGGGCCTTTGAATAAATGTGCTTTGCTTTTGGCACCTGTATCATGTACCTCCCGAATACCATCTTCTCTCTAGGGAGGCTTTCGTAAAAGTGCAGAGCTTGCAGTTCACATGGAACACAACGCTTTCTGCTTGTTTGGAATCCAGTCCTCATGTTTACCTAGACATGAAATAAAGCTGGACTCCAAGGCAGAAAGCTGCTTTAGAAATCAAGTTCACGGGGCGCCTGGCTGGCTCAGTCAGTAGAACATGCGACTCTTGATCTTGGGGTTGTAAGTTCAAGCCCCATGTTGGGTATAGAGATCACTTAAAAATAAAATCTTGGGGAAAAAAAAGAAATCAAGTTCACATATCATAGGTACCAAGGGGAATCTCACTCTCCTTACTTGGGTTTGGTGTGCCAAGTAACAAGTGTGTGACTGGGTGAGTGAAGTGGCTCCTTGCCTAAGATAAAGAACAAAAACAATTATGTCTAATATTTTCTTCTTTGTTCCAACTTTATTTGACACATTGCTGCTTTCACATGACCAAGACACAACACGGTCCTATTTTAAAAAGGAAAAAGGGTGACCTCATCAAAATGATAGCCTGATCACTCCACTCTGAGGACACTGGGTGCACAGCAAGGTCTTGAAGGAGAGTGTTATTTGGAGTAAAACTGGCAGTGAAAATCTGCCTCTTTTTTTTTTTTCTTTC